ATGACCTTCAAAATTGACCTCAAGGTCAAAACTAATGGTACAATTAAATGTCCCCCTCTGTCATGGTCAACTTTTATCTAAACCATTTTTTTGTAGATACCGTAATTTGGAAGATATTCGGGTCCATAGATTAAAACGACTCACCCTGTATATCGGAACACACTGTCTCCTCGAATGCATTCATTACGTTCAATTTAAAATTAATTCTTTTCCCTTCTTTTTTGCCGACAGTATTCATTGGACCTGAAAACTCGCCGGAAGTTTTTGAGGGGTTTTTTGTTCATCTAGGGGAATTGGCGTTGCTTGTGGGGGATTTTGGCTGCGGCCATCTGGCAACACTGACTGTACCGTGTATCGCGTACTGCGCTCCATGTAATCGCACCCTCGCCCTCAATCTATCGACGATTACGATGGTGCGAAAACTAAAGTATCACGAGCAGAAACTGCTGAAAAAAGTAGATTTCTTGTCTTGGCAGGTTGACAACAATCTCCATGAGGTTAAAATCTTGAAACGTTATTGTATTCAGAGAAGATCGGATTATACGGTGTAAGTGAGATTATTAAATTAATAGATAATTATTTGCTAATAATGCTCCCCTCACCTCCGATTTTGAAATTAGGTTCATTCGACGTGCTTTTGCACAAAATGAAAGAATTTGTAAGAAAAACATTGGCTCAGCTCCGCGAACCGAGATATTAAGCGTTGAAGTTGACGGGTATTGAGGCTAGGATATCTCATACCTACGAAATGCAGCGATGGTAATTGTTGAGTTTAGCCTCCTCATCTTTGATGTTGACAAAATTAGACTCATTCGACGCCTTTTTGCACGAAATGAACAAATCTGGCAAAAAAGGTCGCTTTGCCTCGCGAACCGAGATATTAAGCGTTAAAAGTTAACAACTATTGAGGTTAGGAAATCTGTCACAAGAAGAAGAGTTAGTTTAGATTAAAGTTAAATTGCTTTGGTAGAAATGGGCATTAATATCTCGGTTCGCGAAGCCAACCCAATGGTTTTTCTGACAGATTCTTTCGTTTCGTGCAAAAACGCGAATGAGTCTAATTTTATCAAAATTGGAGGTGAAGGAAGCATTCTAAATAATTACCAATTAATACATGCAACAAAAGTTTTTTTGGTTACTCAAAAATGGAATACTCAAAAATTCTGTTTTCTTCACCGATTTTGACGAAATTAAGCTCATTTGACGCATGAAATAAACGAATTTGTCAAAGAGAGTCATTCTGCCCCGTGGACCAAGATATTGTTAAATTTGACGACTATTGAGGTTAGGAAATCTGCCAGCTGCGAAATACTGCAATGCGACATGCGTCGCGGTTACATGCTTTATAATAGTTACATGCGCATATGTTTTGAGTATTTCTCGCTGTTTTAGAATTTGTCAGACCGCGGTCACTGCGGTCCAAAACAAAAGCAAAATAAGTTAGTGAAGCAAAGTAAAAATTAAGAAAAAAGTGAAGAATGCAGTGCCCGAATCGTAATAACTGTTGCTATTTGTGTGGTTTACATGTGCCGTCAAAATATTGGCTGAATATCGAAAGGCTTTGTGGAAGGTTTTGAAGGTTATTTTGTTATGCCTTATGTACCAAATAACAGTAATAGCACATAACCTCTGGCACAACCAATTTATGATTGTGCCAGAGGTTATGTGCTATTACTGTTACCGTGCTATGGTCGCATGGAAATATGATGAAAATAAACGAAAGAAATATCGGATAAAATACGTTTCGCCAGTAATTTGGTTGCCGTGAAGTGAACACTTTGTTGATTCTTGTTATTTTTGTCAAACGCAACGTACCTATGGTTTTCATTACAATATTCGCGAAAAAATCAATTATTCCGATGTGCCAACCATAATTCCGGCACGATTGCAGTCTGCAGTTCATCTAAAAGCTCCTCCACCAGAGGAGCAAAAAGAGCAAAAAGTCATATTTGAAGCGTATGACATGGAATCAACAAAACTGTCTCAAATGGAATTAACAAGGTCTGAATTTGTTACAACATAAAGCAAATTATGCTTCCGTGTATATTTCACTTCATAACGCGTAACTTCGTAAAAGCGAGCGGACTTTAACCATCTTATACGTGAAACGAAAGTATCACAAAAGTGCAAAAATCTGATTATCTTGTTTACAGCAATGGAATTTGGTCAAATTTCAGAATCACATCAGCTTAAAAGCCAATATCAAACCTTTAGACTGGTCGAAGCTTGATCTTGAGTACTTTAAATAACATAATTTCATGTGAATTTATATAAAACACATTTGTAGTCTCTCAAATTGTGCGTCGAATTGTTTTTGGATTTAGAAATGTAACTTAACTACTATATAGTAATATATCACAAATTAAATTACGAGTAATTTAATAACTTTATGCCTAATTGGCATCATTTTAAGAAGACCTTAATGTACTGAAAATTTGTAAATAAATTTATTACGAAAAATATTACCTCAGAGTTGAACCTGGATCTCTAGGATTCCGTGCGAGCATTCTAAGCTTTTAGAAGAGGCTTTAGTAATAATCAAACATGTAGGAATATACACATTTTTCAGGCAGTATATATAAACAATAATAAACAATTTATTAGGACCATATAATATGAAATGAATCTAAAAATAATGAATTTTAATATCTCAGGCTCTTGTTTTTACTTTTGCTTTTTAAATAAAGATTTTTAAGATAAGTGCATAGAGTACTGCAGCTACTTATCTACTTAAAGGATAATTATCAATGGATTGTAGATACAACAAACTATCACGAGATATACGAGAGTTGGGTAGGAAGATTAAGGAAGTCGAGCCTGATCATCCCTTTCGTATTGAGCAAAGTGCCGTATTGTTGGAGAAGCTGTATATGATGGGCCTGATTTCCACCAAATGGGACTTGTCGCAAACACAGAAAGTAACCGCCAGTTGCTTCTGCAGACGAAGACTCCCAGTCATTATGGTGCGCAATAAGATGAGTCAGACAATACCTATGGCAACAAAATTGATAGAACAGGGTCATGTCCGAGTTGGAGTAGAAGTTGTAAAAGATCCAGCGTTTTTGGTAACAAGGTAATATTTTATGTTTTGTTTACTGCACAAATGTTGAAGAAACAACTAAAACGATATCGGTTATATGTTTTACTACAGAAATTTAGAGGACTTTGTAACATGGGTAGACACATCTGCTATTAAGAAACATGTACTAGAATACAATAACGAGGTGAGAATTCTTTCAGCATTTCGTATTATACATTATTGCAGTTAAATTATATTTTCGTAATTATGTATATGTAATACAATGTATTTTTGTTTTACAGAGGGATGATTTTGACATAGTGTGATCAACTGAATTTTATTTTTTTTTTGTACAAAAAAGACTGTTAATAGGCAACAATGTATAAAAAAATTGTTAATGAAGAGAGTAATTATTCTACATCTTATTTTTTGTTTGTATATAAAATGAACATTGGTTTTAATATATAAGCTTCACAATAACACTATCGTTGTTCGTAAAAAGGTCTTTTTTTATAGTTGTAATGAATAAAAAGTCGTTTTTTCCTTGCACTATTATGTGGATTCCCATAAAATGTCTTAAAAATAAAATAATAAAATACGCATAGAGATTCCTTGTAATGAGATAAATTTATTAAAAGTCGAATTAGTTGTCAAGTCACTACTTTAAAGATTGTATATGTCGCTTGAACATAATCGCTTAAACATAAGGGCACGAAGAATACATTGACGTAATTGTAAACATGAAGATTTTTATTACTTAAGGTTTAGCGCAGATGAGATACCGATTTTTTTTATTTATAACCAGAGATTGCAAACAGATTTAAAAAAATACCAACTATATATCAATATTTTTTGTATAACTGAGATAAAAATCGTACCAATCAAATTTATAATTTATATTAATGTATTCAATTTTACTATTTAGTCTTTTTATTTCGGTGTTCAGTCTCTGCTTATAACACGAAGATCGTATTCAAGATATGTGCGATACTGAAAATCAGTATGATCACATCTAGCGCTAGTCGGTAAAAAAAGTAGTTGTGCATTTTTACACAATTCGCTGACACTGATTCGATTAATTGACAAGGAGAATACATATTTATATCATACTAGGAACACTAGGAATACTTCGCCAGAATTAGACAATGCAACGTGGAACGATATATAGAAAAATTGGAACAGCAATGAATCATATCAAGTGCATTCCGAGCAGCCACTCATTCATATACTTATAATGATAATTAGTATTTATTATGATTATGATACAAATGTTACATGTTAATATCTTTATAGTAATCGGCAGTCTCTGTGCTGGTCTCTGTGACATCGCCGCCGCGTTAAGTAATCTTTATTACGTTCTAAAGAGTACTCGGAATACCCACTTTCTTCTCTTTTTTTTTGTCTCTCTGCACTTTTCTAGGACGTAATTAACAGATCAAACGGGGGCGTATATCGGCTCAGGTCCCTAAGTATCTCCTTCTCCCCTTCTCCTTCTCCTTCACCATCAACTATTTACATAATTGCCTTGCGAAATCTCTCCGTAACACGCTGCATTTATTCACGGAAGGAAAAAAAATGGTATCGTTTATTTTGCTTTTGTTCCGTATTTTTATCTATTTTTTCGCGGCGTATCGCTACACCGGTCCCGTGAAAATTTTATTCAATTCGTTCGAAATGAAACGTGAGTGTCATGATCGCGCGTTTTCCCATAATGTAAAACGAGTTTATGTGATATTTCCGATAGATAGGCTTATAGTGAAATATCCTACAAAAGAAAGAAGCAAAGACGAAATGAAAAGAAAAGGAAAACTAGTAATGTAATACATTTGTGCAGTTATTAGTTATCGATAGTCGAGACATCCACTCGCGAGATACAGTAAAGTGCCTCTCATAACTATCGAACGTGTTTCATATTTTCAAATTACTATATCTATTGTTCATTTTTTCTTACGTGGAGACATACTGTTACATATAGAATTTCACACCAATTGTGCTTGTTATGACTTTTGTCCCTTCTCGAAAGAAATTCAATTCTTTCTTTTCTGAATCATTCTACTATTCTTTGTACAAATTCGTTAACGTATTCTATTCTATCGATTAATCTTAACGAGATACTCAGTGAATTACGTTGTCCTTGTATGGCTTTGAAACAAATATATCGCACAACAAAATGCAGAAAATGCATGAAAATTTTCGTTGCATCATTTCACTTAAATAACTACTTATTTGAAGACTATAAAACGCTGAGTATCGCGCTAAACTCGAATTTGCAAACCTACATCGCTATATCTGGGGTCGCCCAAATTCTGAGAAATTGTGACAAGGTCCTGCTGGCTATTTCTCAGGTTTTGGTGAATTCACCAATTTAAGCATCCATGCTTCTTTCGATATTCGAATGTCAGAACTGAGTTATTTTGAGAAAGCAAAGTAACAAAATATATTTTTGTAAAAAGATCAAATGAGTAAGGAATAACCGTGACAAAAATAAGTAAAAAAATGCTTTAGGAAAACTGTATGCATTTAAATGCAGTTCGCAGCAGTGAAGAGAATTGTGAATCATAATGAAATGGCCAGCTTTGTGCGTAGTATTAATGAACATATGAAAGTTTCAGAAAGACCAATGGATGACTGCTTTGATGAAAAAAAAAAATTCTTTACAGTTTTACATTACTATCTACAAAAACTTCAATGTTTTTTTTAAATTTTAATAGTCTCTTCGTATTATGCTTGTGTTGCAATAAATAGTAAATTTTACATAGGCAGTTTTACATATGTTACTGTACAAGAAGTGTAAAAAGATTTATCTCTTTCCCACTCCAATTTAAGTATAAATTTATCGATATAAATAAATCTACAATAGACTCAAATATAATTTTTATGTAATAATCTGACGCTGAAAAAGGATTCTGAGATATATCATTAGAATTTGAAAGCAGCATCACCACCCATCGTGGATCGCAGTGACGTTTTCTTTACGATGACTTAATTTATTAATAAAATGTTTACTTTGTTAAGCAGAATAAATTAAAACCGCTTATTATTATCCATTATGCTACATTCAATTCACAGGGCCAGTCATTCCATTTTCAGATAAAAAATCTAGTATTTTATTTGACAAATAAATCTCTTATGTCTCTGCCTGGATCATAGCATCGGCTGTAATACAGACAGAGTAATAAGTTTGGCGAACGTTGGAAAGACTGGTCCTTCAAGACAATATCGAATTTATGCTTTTGTTAATCCTCCAATATTATGCTATCTAATATTGAATTCCAGTCTTTACGCCCTTGACATATTGCGGATAAAATTATCAATTAGTAACTAAATAATTCTCCTTTTCCACAATATATTAATTTCTCTAGAGTATTACATCAAACGTTAGATAGTATTTTCACTGCAAAAGTCTGTAGAGCTCATGTGTGTGGACGAAAATGAATGGAAATTATAGAACGAATATTGGATGTGAATTGTGATAGACATAAGCTTTGGAAGATTGACAATGTATCCATTTTGTCCATTCAAAATCGTAATTTTTACAAATTATATTTTTACATACCGGAATGCACGTGATGACATTCATTACATATTATTGCAATTTTATGGCTGCAAAATATAAATGTACGATAATAACGAAAGCGTCTTATCAACTTTAGTGTCAGCTATTAGTAAAAAAATGCACATGTCACCGAAATAATGTACAGATAATATAATTTTTAATAATAGGTGTAAGTACAAGACATTTTTTGTGCTCAGTTTTTTTGGAGTATATCTACACATTCTTAATTGGGCACGATGAATTTTGCGTTTCTGTTTTATTATACGCTGCGACAACGAGTAGATAGATTATTGCATATTAACAATATTATTATATAACGTAATGATACGTCGCGAAACATTTTTCCAAAGATTTTCCAACACAAATAGTTCCTCTGACATGTGTCAGATATATCCATATCATAATATAAATAAGCATAATTTTAATGCTCATTAAAACTCATGTAAATATATATACAGGATGTATTTGAAATAACGCTCACTAATCATACAGTGCTATTCCTAATAAAAAACTAAGACGAAAAGTCCTCTACTATTTTACAATTTTTGTAATAGTATTATAATAGTATTACAAATAACGAGATATTTATTTCTAGATTGTCGAATAAACGAATAAAATCGATATATAAGACAATTTTAAGATTTTTCAGTGTTCTTTGTGAAATATTTTGAAGATGTTTCATAAAGAACTTTTAAAGATATCTTAAAGTTGTCTTGTACGTCTATTTTTACATTATTCTCATTGGGCAACTAAAAAAAATATTGCGGAAATTGCAAAATGGTAGAGGACTTTTCGACTCAGTTTTTCATTAGGAATAGCACTATATGATTAGTGGGCGTTATTTCAGATACCTTGTAATATATATATATATACAGGGTGTCCCATTTTAATTGTCCACCCCAAATAACTTTCTTATTTTTGATTTTAGAGAAAAATGTTTCAGACAAAAATTGTATGGTTTCGAGGGGGTCACAAGATGGTACCATTGGTTTGACCTTGGATAATCATTTGAAAATTACATGAAGGTCACCTTCAATTTCTTAAATGGAACATACCATTTTTCATTACATATTCTCGTAGCTTATCTCGAGAGCTTTCCAAAACACTACAATAAAATATTTTTCTCTCGTTGCGTTTACTTCACGAGTATCTGTCATTGCCAAAATTGTGTGTTTTGACAGTTCCGTATTTGAAAACATCCTGCATAAATGTTAAAAGTTTAGTAGCGCGCGCGAAGCGCGCGCCTGTTATGTTCTAGTTTTAATAAAAATACAAATTCGCTTTCCTGTAGTCTTATCTTACATGATCAACCTCGCGGAAAAGCGACAACAATAAACTTCGATACATTCGAGTATCGATTTAACATCTCCTTTTTTTTAGAAAGGAAAGGAAAGGTTTATAACTCGGAAAATACGCAATAGAAAAATATTTTATTGTAGTGTTTTGGAAAGCTCTCGAGATAACCTACGAGAATATGTAATGAAAAATGGTATGTTCCAGAATTAAGAAATTGAAGGTGACCTTCATGTAATTTTCAAATGATTATCCAAGGTCAAACCAATGGTACCATCTTGTGACCCCCTCGAAACCATACAATTTTTGTCTGAAACATTTTTCTCTAAAATCAAAAATAAGAAAGTTATTTGGAGTGGACAATTAAAATGGGACACCCTGTATATAAAATCAAATTTTTACCCAATAATTAGAGATAATTACAAAGTTACCTCTTAATGTTCAAAAGGGATAATACCGACATTCTTCATACATTCAAAACTTGAAGATTTAAGTAAATTTAAAATGTATCTTTTTTTGAAGTTTAAAACGTATTCTTTTACGATTAACT